GATATCTTTACTCCGCCTATCTTTATGCCACCTTCCCAACCATCTAGAGTTTGTCGCATTATGTGTTCTCCATAGATATTAAAAAGGATGGGAGATATCACGCATCCTTGGCGAACACCCTTATGGAATTTGAAAAGGCCTGATGTTAAATCTCCTACAGTCACCGTGCCGTATCCTGACTCATACAGCTTACGAACCAGCATTATGAGGTGGTTCGGTACACCTGTCTCGGAAAGAACTTTCCACTTAACGCAGTCGAAGGCCTTTTGGTAATCCACAAAACACATGAAAGTAGGAGTTGTATATTCGTAGCACTTTTCTATTATAAGCCGAAGGCTTAGGATTTGCTCTCTGGTGCCCCTCCCCTTCACAAAACCAGCTTGTTCCTGGGGTATTTGCCAGTCCAGGTAAGATCTTAGTCTCGCGTTGATGATGTAAAGCAAAATTTTACTGGCATGGGATATCAGTGCAATGGTTCTGTAGTTATTACAGTTCCGTACCGAACCTTTTTTGTGAAGAGGAAGAATAGAGGAGTGTACCCAATCAGATGGCCAATCTCCGGTCTGCCATATCTTACTACATAAATTATGCAAGCACATTATACCATTTGGGCCCAATCCTTTCAACACTTCCGCTGTTATTCTATCAGGTCCTGGTGCTTTATTGTTCTTTAGATTCCGGATTGCGGCTTCAATTTCTGAACGGAGTATGCAGGGTTCCTCTTCTACCGTGACTTCCAGAGATGGAGTAGATCGGTGTTGCGGTATTTGGTCCTTATATAGCTCCTCACAATATTCCCTCCATCTCTCAGCTATTCTGGCAACTTCATGTATAGGGTTTCCATTTTTGTCCTCTATCACCCACGAAGATGGTTTGAACTTCCGCGTTATTTGCCTGACCTTACGGAAGAGATCAGCAGTTTGATATTTGTCCGCGTGACGTTCGATTTCAGTACAGATGTCTTCTAGAAATTTGTTTTTGTCTCTTCTACATTGTCTTTGAATTGTACTCGTGAGTTCTCTCCCACGAATTTTTCAGATCTTACGCCACATTACCATTACCTTACGTAAACTTATATTAGACCAAACCTCTTCTGACATCCAATCCTTTTTGTCTTGATACATCAATAATAAGTGGAACAACATCAATAATAAGTAAAACCGTAATCTTGTGTTGCCGGCAGCTTGAACACATATGAATCTATATTTATCTCTTATAAGAAAGAATTAAGAAAACATATTATAACTTTAAAGAGAACATGAAATGGGAGTGAGGATTTATTAAATTTTTATTGGAATTTTAATCTTTAGTAAACAACTAAAAAAATCATGGTTTAGGTATTTTTTATAGTCATCGATGCTAAACGACATTGCTGCTCAATTAATGATCGGTCACGAACTATGGTAAAGTCGGCAGCAAAATCAATAATTTTTAAGCCTCTTTTAAAAGGCTATAGTGTCCAAATTCCAATGCTATAATGCAAGAATTGGAAACAATCCCCTCAGACGGACTGCGGCCGAAAACATTGGTTGCAGGTAATAGGTAATAATATCTGCTCTGCAGCTTGTATGACGGCTGTTTCGCTCTTCAAGCCGAAACATCTGACTGCTGCGCAGCAGAAATAGGCAACCACGAACAAATAAAAAATCAGCCAAAACAGGGGTGCCCTCATGTGTGGCGCTTCGCCTAGCGAATTTTATTCATTTATTTAGTTTAATATAGAAACTATTTTAAATTTTATTTATTTTCCAAAATCAATTACTTAAAATATTCCTTGCCAGAGAAAACTTTGATGGAAATGTTGCAATCGTAATTAACTAATTGTATCGTATTTAACGGTAAACTATTAAAAAGTATAAAAAATATTTTCCAAGTACCATTGTATTTCATTTCTTATTTTTTCTTTGTCAACTTAACGTTGATGACCAATCGATATTCAATTGTATTTTTTATCAGATGACCAGACGAGTTCATGGCCCCGCTTTGGTTAGGTATTAAAGGCCATATCCATAGATAACGTGCATACCGTTCTAGAGCATTATCAGACAATTCTACACCACTGTTGTCTCATTATTTATGAGCGGTACGGGTACATGACCCCGATCACCTAAGTTGTTTAGTCTACTGCACTATCTCAACTCATTCGTAGTAGTACTACGAATTATGTTCAGTAGCTTTTACCTTTTTAAATTCTTTTCGTCTATTCGGGAGTGCCTCTGCGGTAGCTACCAGGTATTTAACCTAAGGTAGTTTTGCAATTCAAATTCCACGTCGGATCTAAAGCGAAATGGCGTCAATCACGTGTTCTTTAGCTCTAATCACCCGTGTCCATGTCACGTGTTTGTGCAACTAGTTTCACGTATGTTTATCGCGGGCTTATCATTCAGTAATGGCCGTTTTGAAACGGAACAAAGGTTACAGAAGACATTAGCTGTGCAACTTGACGGTATTTAGGTAGAGTAACATTGCTGATGGTAGTAAAGTGCAATCTCAAGAATTGCAATCTCAATAAAGATGATTATGATGTATAAATTTTTGTTTGACATGTGATATTGCGTAATATGTATTTAACATAATTAGTTTCTTGTCTTGAATGTTTTTATTTAAATCAGATAAATTTCTTGATTGTCCTATTCTATTGATAGGTTATTAAAGCCGTCATAAGACTTTAATAATGATAAAAGCCTGGGGATTAAGTTGAGGATTAAAAAATCAAAACTATGATTAGCTCTAAAGGTTCAGTGAATCGTCCTGTATTACACTTATAATACAAGGAAAAAATATATCTTATCTTAATCGTAATAATGACACACTATAAAACCTACTCATAAAAACAATAAAACAAAAATAAAAGCAATGATGGGCTTAACATTAAAAGCTGTTAAAGGAAAGTTGCATCACAAAGCGTTTCACAGAAAAAAAGTATTGCGTAAAACACACTATAAGATATCTGAGAAGCACTTTTCTTGCTATTTTTCTCTGGGACTTTGTTATACAACCTCCAATATCATTCGCCAGATCACTTCGTCAATATTTCTGACACCGAATGTTTATGCGCTTACGCATTTTTGTTTGCGATAGTTCTAGTTTGTCCTAGTTCTATTAAAGTAAGACAGGTGGTGCGCGAGGTACTGGGTAAATTGAAAAAAATATTTGACTGTTCCTGGGTCGGGCGTATTGTAAGTCGAACGGGTCTACGGGGAGCAGTCACTCTTTCCTGTCTAAAGTATCAAGATATTGGTGGGACCGTGACGCGTGCATATCATTACATTTATGGACTCTGATTTAAGTCGTCGTGGCCTAAAGGATAAAACGTCTGGTGCATTCGTATGTAGTGATGCACCGGTGTTCGAATCCCGCAGGCGGGTACCAATTTTTCTAATGAAATACGTACTCAACAAACGTTCACGATTGACTTCCACGGTGAAGGAATAACATCGTGTAATAAAAATCAAACCCACAAAATTATAATTTGCGTAATTACTGGTGGTAGGACCTCTTGTGAGTCCGCACGGGTAGGTACCACCGCCCCACTTATTTCTGCCGTGAAGCAGTAATGCGTTTCGGTTTGAAGGGTGGGGTAGCCGTTGTGACTATACTGAGACCTTAGAACTTATATCTCAAGGTGTGTGGCGCATTTACGATGTAGATGTCTATGGGCTCCAGTAACCACTTAATACCAGGTGGGCTGTGAGCTCGTTTACACATCTAAGCAATAAAAAATAAATAAAAAAAAGTCATATAGAATTGAGTCCGACTCGAAGAATTCCCTGTAAGCGATAAAACTGCCCATTAATACTGATTTTCGTTTTGTTCTAAATTTTATTAAAAAAAAATGGAATTATACTTTCAAATTTAGTCTTTAGTGTTTTCTTTTCACTATATGTTTATCTTTTTCATCAATATGGACACGATAAAAACACAGTTATGAAATACGAGTTTCGTCGCGCTAGCAATTACGCCGCACAAACGGTTGACAACATTAATGACACGTATGGAGTGTACGCTACGAAGGGACGTACGACTCGTTAGGCTGCGTGCACACGGTATTATCTTGCACATTTTCTTTGTATTCGTTATTTTAACGTACAATCACCCGGATGTACATACGGTAGATTTTCATTCGTGTAAAAATGAACGTGTGAACGAGATAGAGAAAATCTACCGTATGAACACCCGGGCGATTGTTCGTTAAAATAACCAATACAAAGAAAACGTGCAAGAAAATGCCGTGTGAACCCGGCTTTATTAGCTTGATATGCAACGCTACCGACATGAAATTTATGATCTAAAAAATGAACGCCGTGGTCGCCCGAAAACTAAAGCCATCAACGGGGATAGTGGAAGCTTACGATACTGTTTGGTGGTCTTGTGCCGTTATAAATGAACACAGTTTCTTGTGTACTGTGAGGATCTTGACACAACGATGGAGGAGCTCCAAAATATCAGATCAGCCTTCGTTAATCGCTCGTCTCCCCTGCTCCTACATGACAACGGTCCACCTCATACGGCACAACAGACATTTTCTAAGCTACTAGAGCAAGGTTTAGAAGTTTTGCGTCATCCAGCGTACTCAACAGACCTTGCGACGACAGACTTCTACGTTTTGCGAAGTTTGGACAATGTCTTAGAAGGAAAAAAAATAAACATTTCGAGAGACAGTACAAAATGCATTTAAAAAGTTAGTTGACTCCCGTACACTTGACTTCTTCAACAAGGGCATTAACAAATTACCACTGAGCTCACAGAGATTCATCGATACCATGGGTGCATATTTTGATTAAGGGATATTAAAATTTATTATAATAATAAAAAGGATTAACTTTCTGTATACTAAACCCCAATTTCATAGGTAAAGACTTAGTTAATATAATATAATATTAAATCGGTTTTAGATTGACAGGTTAAATGGAAAATTCCATTATATAATTTTGTTACGTAATTCACATTGACAGCTGGAGCAAAAGTCAAAACACCGAAATAAATAGATTCGAAACTTGAAATATTTATTATATTTAATATTAAACTTAATTACGCTTCACCGACTTGCAATAAATATCGATCGATGTTCGTTTACATTATATATTATTTATCAATTGCTTTACATTGAAAATCTAAATATAATATAAATACGGCTTATCATTATGTATTACTATTCATGTAGTTACAAGAGAGATTCGGCTTAACAAATTATTTTGGCTGAAAACTGGGATCGAAACGTGGCGGGGTCGTGTTGCTTATTTTCCGGATTGTAGCTGCTGGCATGAAGCATGCGTTATGTGGCATGTTCTGTGGTGGGACCTGACCGGGCGGGAAACCAGGTCCAGGCTGCATGGGCATTCCATACCCGGGATTGGGCGGCATCTGTCCTGGCATAGTGGGCATGCTTGGGTAGCCGGAATTTTGTGATGGACGTTGCATTCTGTAAACATTGAAACAGTCTGTTTTAGAACATCTTTAATTATTCATAAAATAAATTATAATAAAATTAAAACTAATACTAATTAGTTGTACATATACATATATCAGTCAGTTCTGTCAATTATGTAAAACAAATTGAGTTCAGTAATTAAAACCGTTTGAAATCATCTCACTTTGATTTGACACTTTACAATAATTTCTAGAATATATGCATGATACTCACATGATAATTTGATTTGGACAACCGGACAACTGATTAGATACACACAATATAAACCTGAAGAATTCTTCCGAAAGTTCTAGATGGGGATCGTTGCAATCGACTGGCATTTGTTCATAGCGTAAGTTTTATTTATACTTTTGCTTTATCGGATTAAAACATAGCAAGATATGTTTGCTATCTCATCTGATTTGACTATACGCTTGTATATTAAATTATAAGGATATATTTTATTCTGTATTCACTGGTTGTTTTTAAAAGCAATACTTAATAACATGACTTTCATAAAATGGCAGATGACTTAAGGGTGATTTTCTGGCAACTAATCCTTTGAAATTATAAGAGTATTTATTTTTATTTATATGTATAGGAACGAATAACACATACAGCTATTCATGGTATGTATAATAAAACCAATGCATGTAACCATTTTTAATTCAAGGTGTTTTGTGTAAAATTTAAGCAAATGTAAGCAAGTCCAAGGACTTGAGGATGTACTCGTATAGTGACAGTGCCGTCTTCAAATATTAATATAGTCGAATAAAATAGTTGGTTTTTATTACTTTTTATAAATAAAAAAATCCTGAACACTTTTTATTCTAGACCAAAAGACCGGTGGCCGTTACGTCCAATGAATTTTACTTTCTTTTTGAGGAGTATTTCTGCCGATAGTTCGTTAGTGAGCGCTTCTGACAAACTATACAATTTCTTCACAACTTTGTAGCAGACATTAGATAATTGCCGCTGAATGTCAAAACACCCAGTTAAATGTGTATCCGGCATGTCCAACAGGAGCAAATCCTATATTGAGACCGTTGAATGCAAAACCTTTAATGAATTAATGAAGTAATCCTTAAAACAATTTAAATAGGCAAAGACAAATCATCTAGGTACCTACCATTTTCTCCTGTGTTTATCCACATTTTTTTTTTAATTGAGTACCTATTAAAAAGTTTTAGTGTGAGGCATCACAAAATTTTAAATGACATCACGATAATTAGAACGATAGAATAAATTTCCGCACACTGCTCTCTTAATTTATATGTTTCATTTATGTATTTTGATCCATTGTATTCGTATGGTATACTTTATTTTGTTCGGTGTGATCGATATAGCCCTAATTACTACAATTACACAATTTGAAAATATTTATCGCTACTAAGCTTTTACTTCTACGTTATCAAAGTCATTCTTAATTATGATTTTATCTTTTCGATACGGAGACGTGACTTTTAAATACAGGAAATCGATGCAGAGGCCCTTGTCGGATATCTTCTTTCGTTAAAGCAAAACAAATATGTTTGTTGTAATGCTGTTGAATCATCATAATAATTCTAATAAAAGGGAAAAATTATCGAATTATACCGATTTGTTTTTTTTTATATTTTAAATAACGATTATTTTCTGTGATAAATGATTTTATTTACTTAGCAGATTTATGTTTCAATAGTGAGGGTTTTATCGTAATTTTAATGATAAAATTTCCAAAAAATTATGTTTCAAAGAGTATTTATTGCACTACGTCGTGGATGAGTTCACGGCTCGTCTGATATCCGGAGCTCAAAGGCATTTCAGTGTTAGCGTTTCGGTGCACCAAGGCACATATAATGTGGTAAGCGGTAACTATTACGGCTCTTCCATCCTTTCCGTTTACACCGATACGCATTACTGCTTCACACCAAAAATAGGCTGGGTTGTATGCCCGTATCTACCTGTAAGCTGGAAACTTATGATTCTACAGATTTAAGCATGAGATAATGAAATACATTTAGCCTACTGTGATAAATCGATTAGCCGCTCATTAGTCATACGAAATACCAATAGCTTTTCTTCGGAAAACAATATACATACCTAGAAAAACTTTAAGAAATTTACGTAAGGTACCTTAAACAAAATTTGGAATTATAATAACTTATATATGCTACTGATCTCGAGCTGATATGTGAATTTTTTTTAATGCTTTGATGGACGAGCTCACAGCTCACCTGATGTTAAGTGGTTACTGGAGCCCATAGACATCTACAACGTAAATGCGCCACCCACCTTGAGATATAAGTTTTAAGGTCTCAGTATAGTTACAATGGCTGCCCCACCCTTCAAACCGAAACGCATTACTGCTTCACGGCAGAATTAGGCAGGGTACCTACTCGTGCGGACTCACAAGAGGTCTTACCACCAGTAAAAAGGTTTAGGTAAAGGTTAGGTTGCACGTCGCACTCTTTACTGAGTTCGACGACTGCTGTTACCGGGATCTCTACTTCTAGTGTTAAAGCTAAATAAGCTCATCATACGGGACTTCTTGTCGAACCGCTCTTTTCGATATCGAGTAGAGGGAGCCCGCTCCTCCCTGCGACCACTCACGGCTGGAGTCCCGCAAGGCTCCGTTCTCTCTCCGCTCCTATTTGGTTTATTTACTAACGATATTCCCCGGTCGCCGCCGACCCAGCTAGCCTTATTCGCTGATGACACAACCGTTTACTACTCAAGTAAAAACAAGTCCCTAATCGCGAGTAAACTCCAGCGCGCAGCGTTGACCCTCGGAGAGTGGTTCCGAAAATGGCGCATAGACATCAACCTAGCGAAAAGCACACCAGTGTTATTTCAAAGGGGAAACTCACCGCTTATTTCCTCCCACATTAGGAGGAGAAATATCACACCCCCGGTCACCCTCATCGGCCAACCTATACCCTGGGCCAGGAAGGTCAAGTACCTGGGAGTCACCCTGGATGCATCCATGGCATTCCGCCCACATATAAAAACAGTCCGCGACCGTGCCGCATTTATTCTCGACAGTCTCTAAAATAAAATGTCCCTTAGGAACAAGGTGACACTTTACAAAACTTGCTTATGGCCCATCATGAATTACGCGAGTGTGGTCTTCGCTCACGCGACTCGTACACACATTGACACCCTCCGAACCCTTACAATCCCGCTTTTGCAGGTTAGCCGTCGGGGCTCCGTGGTTCTTGAGGAATGTTGACCTACACGACGACTTTATTGGATCTGATGGATCCGTAAGGACGTATCTAGGGCGTCGCCGATGACTGACTCCTGCATGATCAGAGTTCAGGATGTAGTAGGCGATTATCATGACGCACAGCTCTATTGAAGTACCGTTTCGTAGCTGACTTCATGTGTTTCCGGATCGATTCGAGGCCCAGGTCGTCGTGTAGGTCAACTTTCCTCACGAACCAGGGAGCTCCGACGGCTAGCCTGTAAAAACGGGATTGTAAGGATTGGAGGGAGTTTATATGTGTGCGGGCCGTGTGAGTGAACACCACACTCGCGTAAGTCATTAAGGGGCTTATGCAAGTTTTGTAAAGTGTCACCTTGTCCCGAAGGGACAATTTACTCCACTTACATGGAGTAGGGTTTGCCGATAAGAAACGCGGCACACTTGCAGACTGGTTTTATATGGGGGTGGAATGTCAGGGTGACACCCAGGTACTTGACCTAGGGTATGGGTTGGCTGAAAAGGGTAATCGGCGATGTGAGATTCTCCCTCCTAATTCGGGAGGCAATGTGGAGTGGTAGAAAGGACAAACCGTCCGGTGCAATTGTATCAAGCAATGCATCGGTGTTCGAATCGCACAGGCAGGTACCAATTTTTCTATTTTCAAAAGGCAGCGACTAAGTATCGAAAAATACAAGTCAGTACAACTTGCATAAATGTAAATAAAAAATACGCAGTGGACTCTAGTACATGTTTAGTTCATGACATCAAATAACAATCTCGAGTTGATTAAAATATAATCTTTTTAATTAAATAAAAACTTTTTGCCGTAAATGTTAATAAATTAACGGTTTTCGGTAGCCACCTAATTTTTTGCCTTTGGTTTTCCCTGCCTATTCGCCGATAGCCTAAGGGGCTATTCCACCTATGCACTGGATGGTAGGTGAGCTCACGGGGCGTATCTTGTAAGAGTTTGTTGAAACTGGCCCCAGCAAGAGCAGTGCTTGCCTGAATCTACCACCGGATCGAAATCGCGATCCAGATTCGGCGAGAAACTCAGTGGGTTGTGTCTATGGGCTAATTTGCAGATCCGGCGGCTTTGCCTTACAATATCGCCTTGGTTGGTGATATCATTAGCAGCAACCTCAATAAGAGAGCTTGTCTTGTCGCGCTGTTTTATCAAAGTAGCGGTCTGACGATTCCTTAAGACATTTACGTATCGGTTCTAAATTTAAGTCGTCGTGAAGATCGACATTCCTCATGCACCACGGTACTCCGACGTATCTTGTAGAAACGGGATTGGATGTCTTGCAGAGAGATAAAATGTGTGCGGGTCAGGTGAACGAGCACTACACTTGCATAGGTCATGACGGAACGATTTAAGTTTTGTAGAGTGTCATGACAAACGGATTCTTTCCTCACTTATATGCATTTGTTGTGTTATATGCAATACTTTAAGATGATATATTAATAACTAGCGACCCGCCCTCGCTTCGCTTCGGAGACTAATTTATTATTGATTTCTCCACTATTTAATGGATGTTATTATGCATATAAACCTTCCTTTTCAATCACTCTATCTATTAAAAAAAACCGCATCAAAATCCGTTGCGTAGTTTTAAAGATTTAAGCATACATAGGGACAGACAGATATGGGGACAGAGAAAGCGGCTTTATTTTATACTATGTAGTGAAGATTCTGCTTTTTTCGAATCATAAGAAAAAATAAATTGAAATACTTAGTAGTGAAGTGAGTGAGTAGAGAAGTGAGCTGAGATAAGCTGTGGAAATAACTACCTATGTTAACAAAGTAAAGGTTTATTATTATTTCATTTCGATGATTTTCAAGATTTCACATTGCATAACATATAACAATTTTTAGCTTTAAACAATAATCGTAAAATTTACCAATCCTTTATTGTAATTAAGTGGAAAACTTGTAAATGTCAAAATCAATTACATTACAATTAAATATAGATTCTAAACGAAAATTAATTACTTGATAAAGTGCATTTTAATTTAAAAATATCTTTATCATTCTGTTCATGTCATATTGCAGACAAACTGACAACCATCAGTCCAATGCAACGAACTCAAAATATAAATGAAAATCGATCTGAATTTGAGATATTTAATAAAATGAAACAAATTACAAATATCGTTCTAGTTACTTTTCGGCACACTTTTCAGACGCTAATTCGACAGAGTTGAGATCATTTTTAATCACTTTGTCTTCTATATCTAAACAACAATCTTCAGTATTAACTTTCATGTGATCATTGTCTGCGACATTTGATTTCAGACGTAACCTCCTTGCTATTAGGTATGCTGTTAATTGTATTAACGCGAGTCCCAATCCAGGCAGAAGCCAAGCATCTGGAAACGTTGAGACAGTTCTGCTGTATAGCAGGGAGTAGAGCGGCGACGACAATGTCTGTATTGCAGACTGGAGGGCTCCCATAACGCTGTATATTTTACCTGTTGAAACGAAATTTAGATATCAAAAAATTTAATCGAAATATTTTATTAGGACAACTCCTCTACATTATTATTTTGATATGTAAATGGTTTTTAAATATCTATAAGCGACTCGTAAAGTTTTAGATATTTATCACATTTCCTTTGATTTTGTTTTTTATAATTACAGCTATCATTTGGTTTAATTATCTTCTAAAAAATGCTCGATAGTATCGCATGATAGTTTGCGCCTGAAATAGAAAGGACGGTGGTATCATCCTGTACTTTCGGCACAGAAATATCCTGCACATTATTTAAAATTAGCAAAGAGTTAATAAGCTAATTAGTAGCCAGCCACTCCGGACATATTGAAAGTAGAAGTTTTTTTAGCATTTTACCATAATTTGTGTTATAATATTTATACATATATATGATACTGTGAATGCTAGTACTTATATTGAGACGTAAGTTCAAAGTCTCAATTTTATTGTAATATGTCACACTCCCTATATTATACCAGAACGCGTGACTGCCTCGCGGTAAAAATAGATAGTACATGGGTAATCACTAACACATAAGAGCTCACAGCTTTACGACAGCTAATTTAAAAGAATACAACAATAAATTATCGTAGATATATTATACGACACGTTCTTATTTAAGTAAATATTCCTTTTTTGACGCAAATGCTTCGGAATCATTGTTTATTTTCTAATTTTATTCCATGAGCTGTTAAAAAAATTCCAACTAAACAATTTGAAAGTAATAAATTGACTATTTATAAATGATATCTGATAACGAATTTTGATAAGCGAAAATTTACAATTTAGATACGAAGATTAAATTAATAGCTTAGAATTTGAGATAAGAATAAGTGTGAGGTAATAATGTATTTGGTTTTATTTATTTATTTAATTATTTTTTCCAACAAAATGATCCTGATAATTCAGAACATCGATAAAAGTATACTCTTGGTTTTTGATAAATGTCACCACAATTATAGGTACAAATATTATTATATAAATAGTTGACAACATCATCAATAAACAAAAACACGTATAAATATATAAATATATATTAATTATTACTACTATATTTCTATGACTGAGATTAGTTTAAAGCCATTCAATGATTGCCATCATTATTTAAGTGTATCTGATTGCAACACATCAAATTTTATTTTATTTGTTAATTCAGAAAGTACATATTATTATCAATAACTTGATTTACGACGACATTGCACGATGTCATTGTACATGTTCAATGTGACAATGGAAAAACCGACTGCAAAATACAAATGGAACGATAAGGAACTATTTGTCTTGACAATCTTATTTCACAATAGAAGATATATCTCTGATACAGTTTTGAAATTGCGGAATCTGTATTTGTTGATAGCAAAAAAAATTTTTTTTATCATTTCATGTGTTTTTTTTTTTTTTTATTGCTTAGATGGGTGGACGAGCTCACAGCTCACCTGGTGTTAAGTGGTTACTGGAGCCTATAGACATTTACAACGTAAATGCGCCATCCACCTTGAGATATAAGTTCTAAGGTCTCAGTGTAGTTACAACGGCTGCCCTACTCTTCAAACCGAAACGCATTACTGCTTCACGGCACAAATAGGCAGGGCGGTGGTACCTACCCGTGCGGACTCGCAAGAGGTCCTACCACCAGTATTTACGCAAATTATAATTTTGCGGGTTTGATTTCTATTACACGATGTTATTCCTTCACCGTGGAAGTCAATCGTGAACATTTGTTGAGTACGTATTTCATTAGAAAAATTGATACCCGCCTGCGGGATTCGAACACCAGTGCATCGCTAGATACGAATGCACCGGACGTCTTATCCTTTAGGCCACGACGACTTCTTATTTACTGATCTTACTGAATTTTTTCAGCTGGATGTTTAGATCAGCAGTATTGATTACTGCTTACATAATGACATAAATTATTCACGTAAAGCTAACTCACCTTGTTCAGTTGGTAAAATTTGCTTATTCAGTAGCGGCCTCTGGACGACCTGAGATCCTTGAGATATTATTCCGAGCAAAGGAACTGAAAACAAGACAATATGATTTTCTAATGGTGGCCTGGTCTTGAATTGGTAAGATACTTACGTAGTATGTAGTACCGCTAGTACATTTAAGCTCGGGAAATAGACGAACTTTTGCGCTTATACATAGATGGCGAAAAATGCATGAAATTTAAAACCGCTTTTTTTCTTAATCTCCTTATAGCTTCTATTTGGTTGACTTGTATAGAAGCGTATAAGATTCGTAGATGTTTATTTATTAATCTATAAAGATAAAAATCAATGTTTGTATGTACTGATTAGTTCCCAATGCTTTCCTAAGCTATTCATTCTAATGGAAATAATTTTTTTATTTTTTATTGCGTAGATGGGTGGACGAGCTCACAGCCCACCCGGTGTTAAGTGGTTACTGGAGCCCATAGACATACACAACGTAAATGCGCCACCCACCTTGAGATATAAGTTCTAAGGTCTCAGTATAGTTACAACGGCTGCCCCACCCTTCAAACCGAAACGCATTACTGCTTCACGGCAGAAATAGGCAGGGCGGTGGTGCCCACCCGCGCGGACTCACAAGAGGTCCTACCACCAGTAATTACGCAAATTAAAATTTTGCGGGTTTCATTTTTATTCCACGATGTTATTCCTTCACCGTGGAAGTCAATCGTGAACATTTGTTGAGTACGTATTTCATTAGAAAAATTGGTACCCGCCTGAGATTCGAACACCCGTGCATCGCTCAACACGAATGCACCGGACGTCTTATCCGTTAGGCCACGAAGACTTCTTCCCGTTTAAGCAATAAAAAGAAAATACATAGTTACATCTTATTGAGTGCGCTTTATATTTTTTTTTTTTTTTTATTTTTTTTTATTGCCTTTGTAGGCAGACGAGCATATGGCCCACCTGATGGTAAGTGGTCACCGTCGCTCATGGACGTCAGCAATGCCAGGGGCAGAGCCAAGACGCTGCCTACCATAAAGTACTCTCCGCAAGCCTCGTTTGAAGAAGGACATGTCATAGCGCTCGGAAAACACCGTGGAGGGGAGTTCATTCCAAAGCCGGATGGTACGTGGCAAAAAAGATCTTTGGAAAGGCACTGTCGATGAACGCAGCGGTTCCAGATAATATGGATGAACTCTGCTCCGATGGCGGGAGGTGCGATGATAAAAAGGAGATGAGGGAATCATCTCGAATAATTCCTCAGAGCATTCCCCATGGACCATGCGGTATAAAACACAGAGAGAACCGTTTCCCTCCGTAGACCCAGAGGTTCCAAGCGATCCGCGAGAGCAGGACTATCGACCATCCGAACAGCCCGTTTCTGTATGGAGTCAAATGGAAGTAGCTGGTATTTGGGAGCCTCGGCCCAGAGGTGAGAGCAGTACTCCACGTGAGCTCGGACCTGCGCTTTATAAAGCGCAAGTCTCTGTCTAGGCGTGAAATACCGCTTCGCTCTGTTGAGAACTCCCAACATTTTAGAGGCCAATTTGGCTTTACCTTCCAAATGACTCCGAAACTGGACATCGCTCGAAATATCGACCCCCAGAATCCCGATACTCGCGGAAAGCTGCAGGGATACTCCTTGAAATTTCGGCGCCATGACAAAAGGGTCCTTCTTCGCAGTGAACGCGCAAACCTGTGTCTTCAATGGGTTGAACTGAACTGAATTCAGCTCACCCCACTTGGAGACCTGCCCCAGAGAGTTCTCCACTTCAGACACAAGTTTTAATCGCCTCTCGTGTACAACGCTTCGAGAGAGAGTCTGATGGCCGATATATCGCGCATCCCCCGTGCTATCATCCGCATAGCAATGCATGCCATCAATAGATAGCATGTCATTGATATGCAGTATGAAAAGCGTGGGGGAGAGCACCGAACCTTGTGGAACACCAGCGTTGATGGTCATGGTATCGGAGCAGTAGCCGTCGACGACAACTGTGATGCTCCGTCCATCCAAAAAGCTAGCGATCCACTTGCAGAGTCCCTCAGTCATTTGATTTAGAGTGATTGCCAGAGCCCATAGAGATCACAAGAATTCAAGTCTCAATTGAATAGTCCATATAACGACTGTCCTACCCTTTAAATTCATTTATTTAATTAATTCATTTAATTCCAATTTCGAAAATATTTTAATGATTCATTATTTAATAAAATGTCATCAAACGGATTATGAATAATGTTGTTTTTTTTAATCTTGTTTATCGTATCGTGTCCGAGAATTAGTCAAGATTTTCTTCATATTTGTTAGAGTATTGCACAATGCACACAGCAAGTGATATGAGGAAGGACTTCGTTGTGGTCTTTTGGCTAAAGACTAGCTTTCGCTTATCGTATCACGGTAGTTATTATCACAGAAAAACAACAAATATAATAATACCTTTTTTATATTTGTATCTTATAAGGGAAGAGGGGGCATCACGGGGACGTGAGGCACGACGAGGTCACACATAAATGCAAGTAACTACACTCAACAGAGTTGTGTTGTTGGCGTCAATAACAATGACAGGTAACTGGACTACACGCGTTTTTTTCACCAAGAAAATATTGTCGTCATTAATTGATTTAATTTTAAGGGAATACTTAAACACACACAAAAAGGTAAGTGCTTGGACTATTAATTTCGTTTTTATCGTGTTTTTTCTAGCAAAATTGCTTATTGATATTTGAATTTCTAATTTGATATTGAAATTCTAATAGCCGGTTCGTTTTTTCTGTTTATTATTTAAAAAATAGAACTAGACGTAGGGGCATAACAGGGGCATGGCTCTGGGGCAAGATCCGCTCATGATTTATTTCTTTTTAGGTAATTAAATCGTACTAACTTATATTAAAAAAGTACGAAAGGCAATTGGTCTGCGAAGAGCATGATACAGACCATTAATAAAGTTTTGAGCAAAAAAGCGAACTACAGAGAAGCTTCTCACTGTACAGTGTTCCGCAGACCACACTGGAGCATCATGTCGCTAAAATAAAGAACATTCTTCTTTATTTTCTAGCTCTGAGAGTAGATGGTGAAATTTGGGGTAGGTATGTTTTATTGCAGATGGTATTTCCATGCTTCTCGTCCTAATTCTAGACAGAGAGTAAAATTAGTACGAGATCCTCCAGGGATGACTCTATACTGTCCCGTACCTTGTGGTACGATGGAGTTTTGTTAAGGGTTTCATACTTTTTTATTTGATTAATTATCTCACTAAATTATATGCCAAATACTAGTTTAATAAGTAACCTAAGTGTTCTAGTTACTTTTAATTCATAAAAATACCTTGATTATATTTTTATTGCTTACTAGCTGACCCGGCAGACTTCGTAGTGCATTCCGATAGAGGCACCCGTCACGTGCGGACGTGCTCATCGTCCACTCGATCGCCCGGTCTTTGTTCGCCCGGCTTTTGTTAGCCCGGCCATTGTTCGCGCGGCCTGTGTTCGTGATACATCTGCCGACCAAGTGTGTTTCCTGGAAGCTTTTATTTGTTTTGTTTTAGTTATTTTTGTGTTCGTGGAACATTTGCCGACAAAGTGNAAAAAAAAAAAAAAAAAAAAAAAAAAAAAAAAAAAAAAAAAAAAAAAAAAAAAAAAAAAACTTCGTAGTGCCTCAATCGACAAATAAAATATCTAAACTTTTGTATAAAATAAACTTAAAACAAACAAAAGAATCCGTCCGACGGAGGACACATCAAAAGAAAAAAAAGCATTTTCATATTTATCTACCATTTAAACCTTCTCTGGACTTCGAAAAATAATTCAAGACCAAAATTAGCCAAATCAGTCCAGCCGCTCTCGAGTTTTAGCGAGACTAACGAACAGCAATTCATTTTTATAAATATAGATTTCCCTTAAAGTCACCGCTATGCCACCCCTCATTCTCCTATATATATTTTTATTTATTATTGCTTAGATGATCTAAAATATGATATTGTTTTATTACATATATTTTTGTCTTTTAATAATTATTCCTTCATTCTGTATCAAAGTCTGTTCGGAGCCTATAACTAACCAATAAACTTTGACGTCAAACCGACAGCCCTGGATCTTTGCGAACTTCTTTTATGAACAAAGATACCTAAATTTTCAGTATACGCAGATGCTCGTGAAATTTAAGTACTTCGATTGAGACATGCAGCGAAGTAGGTAATTTGGATTTAGTGCTAAGGCAACCGCTTGTAAAATTGTTAGACAAATGCAACAACAAAAATATGCGCTGATCCCGAATTTCCTACTAACTGCACAGTTAGTAAGAAATGCGAGAGTATAAATAAACAACTAGACTAAATTGCATAGTACGGCTCTCACATAGGACGAAACGCTTCTATTCTATCAGCCCACAGACGTCCACTCCTGGACATAGGTCTCCACCAAGACGAAACACTTAGGATGGAAATTGTTCGTTTCAACGGCTCTTCAATTGTGAATAGCGTTGAAATTGGACCGGTTACACGTAATATTTCGATGTTCGCTCCATGTTTCATTCACATATTTCATTCACAGTCACTCTAAAATTTAAAATTTTATCTATTTTCATAGAAAATAAGCGGCGATTTGAATTTACTGGTGGTAGGACCTCTTGTATGTCCACGCGGGTAGGTGCCACCAACCTTTTTTTTTTTAACTCTGGGGAATCCATTTACGGATACCCGGTCGAGGGGGGTAAGAGACCGGGTTATGTCGAACTCCGGCGCCTCCAGAGAAGAACAGGGAGAAGAAGAAGACAGGGGTCCTTCTCCTCTTCTTCCAATTCCTGCCGGGAGACTACGCCTTGAGAAAGGCGCGCGAGGCACTGCACGGCGTCAGCCACGCATGATTTACCCCGCAAAACCGACTACCGACTAAACCCCATCGAGCCCCACCACTCCGACTCCACGAAACCCACGGTACCGCACAGTGCGCGCCGAAGGCTCGCCGTCGCGGCGTCGCCGGGAAGGTGCCACCACCCTGGCTATTCCTGTCGTGAAGCAGTGATGCGATTCGGCTTGAATGGTGGGGCTGCCCTTGTAGATATCTATGGGCTCCGGTAACCAGTTAGCACCAGGTGGGTCGTGAGTTCGTCTACCCATCTATGCAATAAAAAATAAAAATAAAAGAATATAGATACTAACGCATAAATACGCAGTAAGTGTAAGTGGTGGCAATGAGACCAGATGTAGATAATATGTTTGACAGGCAGCTGAAGACTCCTACCATCTCGTCCGACAGTTTCAAGCGTCGCTTCAGCAGACTCAATATTAATAATGTACCTGGAAAAAGAGCCTTTTTAATTCCGAGATAACATTTCAAATTAAAGCCGAACTAAATTTTATCTCAACCAATCAGATATTAGATTTGCCTTAGTATGGTCGATAGAGTGATGTTTGTAGTTTTTATACCTTTTTAGTTTTTTTTAGTACAGAGAACGGTATTGTTTGTTAAACTATTATTAATAGTGGCCCCGCAGTAGTCGAAATTCGATTTAAACATTATTATGGTTCTATTGTCAAACACTATTATAATTCAATAATATAATCACAGTTCACAGTAGCAGTAGGCAGCGGCTTGGCTCTGCCCCTGGCATTGCTGAAGTCCATGGGCGACGGTAACTACTCACCATCAGGTGGGCCGTATGCTCGTCTGCCTACAAAGGCAATAAAAATAAAAATAAAAGTTCGCCAAAACTGCTCTATAGAACAATAATATTAAAGACAAACAATATTATTCTATTTTCAATTCGACCACAGACTAAACAATAACAAAAGTTTCCCAATTGACAGTAAACAAAGAGTATATTTTTATGTATGTGTTGTGTTAAATACATGGTAGTGTGTGTAATGTTTTTTTTATTGATTTAATGTATCTTTTATACATCATTTAAAAAAAAATATTAGCATTGTGCACTTCTTCTCTATATTCTCTATAAAGTGTGAAAAATTTCATACTCCTCCGTCCGCGCAATTTTCGTAAAAAGGTATACAAAGTTTATGCTTCACGTATTAATATTATACAGATATATTCCATAAGATAATTGAATTCTATTACCAAAGCTCAAACTCTGGTAATGCCGGTACAATCGATACTCGAAACGGCTTGAATATGTAAATTTATTTGAACGCAACAAACAGTGTTCCAAGTTTTCAAAGATTGTGTTTATTCCGACATCAATAATGCCTATTTCTTTATTTCTACCATTCGCTTGATACCACGATCCATGTATATTATTAAAAGCACTCACCAATGAAACTGATGATGTTCTTATAAGCCAAAAACGAGCTTGATACCACAACCCATGTAACTATATTATTAAAAGCACTCACCAAAGAAACTGATGATGTTCTTATATGCCAAAAACGAGCCAAACATTATGTCGTCCCAATGAAATTTGTACCTATAGTACATGTAGGCGATTAGCACCTCAGCTAAAATGAAACGTAAGGTTTATTGTCGTATACTCGTATGCTAGACCAGTTTAGAAGCCTTTAAAAAAAATAAAAAGTGAAAAAAAAAATATTAGGATAAAACCTATTAGAAAAGGAGGAGAATATTATAAATATGAAAGGAAAAATAATTTACAGGCGATCTGAGGTCGGGAAGGGGATGGGGGTGAGTTTTTAAGGGTAAAAAACGGTGTTTCTCGATTTCTGGCAAAACTAAAAGTCCTATGGAAAAAAGTCAAATGGGAAAGTTGTAGGTAATTACACTACTATTATTTTTTTTGGTTTTGAAAATTATCGACCCTGGTCTATACTATGTTATGAGCCTTTTAAGACGGAATGCCTAATTCGATACGAATATACCAGACGTCTGAGTACAGCAACGACCAGAGAATTTTACACGATTAGTTCATGCCGTGGCTTTGCTCTCGTGGGTTTCTTATGGTAGTTTTGGGACAACACCACAAATCCGACCCTACAGGAACTTACTATTTTGTTTCAAAATCAATCTTGCATTCCAGTTTGAAGGGCAAAATCAAGTCATAATCAAATTCGATCTTCGACTTTTAGTCGGTAGCCATTTTTACGTCATGTCTATTAGCTCCAGTAACCACTTAATACTATATGGGCCTGCCCTAAGTTCGTCTAAAACTTTAAACAATAAAAAATTTTTGCTCTTTCCATACGACGTTCGTTATCCCTTCCTCTTGAAGTTATAATAGTTCGTGACTGCATATAGTTGTTAGCTATTTTAATATACAAACATCGCAATAGTTTTTCTGGCAGAGGAACTGGACTGTAGTTCAAATCGGAATCCTTGAAAACCAAAGATACGATTGCTATTGGTAGAAATAGATAAAACGATATCACCAACATACGTATTCATCATTTACCTTTCAGCATTATGAATGCAAAACTAAGCTAAAACAAAATTGCTATTACAATCAGAAATTATTTTTCTAGCAGAACATAATTGGACGAAATTCAAATTCAAATTCAAAATCATTTATTTCAACTTAGATGTCAGTATGACACACTTGTTGAATGTCAAAATACAAATAACGATTTTAACTCTACCACCGGTTCCAAAAAAAGCCACAGTCCTGAGAAGAACCGGCGAAACAAACTCAGCGGGCTTTTTTTTCTTTTGTTTTTCTCAAATTTTTTTCAATTTCTTCAATTTCAATTTTTTCTCAAACAAGACGTTTTGTACCTGATAGTAGAACTCTATCTCCGAGAGACACAAGCAGCATGAGTAATATTATTTTCCTTTTGTGTCCTTCCCGGCTCTTTATTAGGCTTTTGAACGCCTTCAATGGTAGCTTCCAATTAAACACCGACACTCGGTTTTCGGTGTTAACATTCACATCTTGCATTACGAATTGCACGTATAGAAGAGATGAAATCTGAAATAAACAAAGGTATTAGGAGTTATATGATGCTTACAGCATATGGAAGGAAGACCCGATATGAAATTAAAACTACTTTTTCGATTTAATCTCACGTTAATTATTTGAATTTTGGAAGTGATCCGTTCAAATACAGAATCTGAAAATCGAACTTTGACCCCGTGTAGCAGTAGGGTAGTAGGGGTAGTAGGGTAGTAATCAATAATCGAAAACTCTAATTAAATTTAATCGAGAACATTATAAGTATTTTTGTTTTTGTCGTCGCAGTTTTGTACGTTTATAAATACTAGTGGTCCCGTAGTAGTCGAAATTCGACTATGATTAATTGAAATTATAAGTTTGAACATTATTCTGGTTATATTGTCAAAGACTACTTCTATAATCAGATTTCGCCAAGACTACACTATAGACAAATAATATTAAAGATAAACAATATTAACCTAATTTCGATTTGACCACAGACTTTAAATATTAACTAAAGATTGACGATAAACAAAGAGTATATATAGATATGTGTGTGTGTCAAATACATGGCAATGTCGCGCCGATCGTTATCGCGTCTGTTTATCTTCCACCGGATAAGATCGTTTTAAGCAGTGATATCGAGGCGCTGCTCAGCATGGGAAGCTCTGTCATTCTGGCGGGCGACCTAAATTGTAAACACATCAGGTGGAACTCTCACACCACAACCCCTAATGGCCGGCGGCTCGACGCGTTAGTCGATGATCTCACCTTCGATATCATCGCTCCGCTAACCCCGACTCACTACCCGCTAAATATCGCGCATCGCCCGGATATACTCGACATAGCGTTATTAAAAAATGTAGCTCTGCGCTTACACTCGATTGAAGTAGTTTCAGAGTTAGATTCAGACCACCGTCCCGTCGTTATGAAGCTCGGTCGCGCTCCCGATTCCGTTCCCGTCACGAGGACTGTGGTGGATTGGCACACGTTGGGCATCAGTCTGGCTGAATCTAATCCACCATCGCTCCCGTTTAACCCGGACTCTACCCCGTCTCCTCAGGATACCGCTGAAGCCATAGACATCTTAACGTCACACATCAACTCGACATTAGATAGGTCATCGAAACAAGTTGTAGCGGAGGACTTCCTTCACCGCTTCAAATTGTCCGACGATATTAGGGAACTCCTTAGAGCTAAGAACGCCTCGATACGCGCCTACGACAGGTATCCTACCGCGGAAAATCGTATTCGAATGCGTGCCCTACAACGCGACGTAGAGTCTCGCATCGCCGAAGTCCGAGATGCCAGATGGTCTGATTTCTTAGAAGCACTCGCGCCCTCTCAAAGGTCTTACTACCGCTTAGCTCGTACTCTCAAATCAGATACGGTAGTAACTATGCCCCCCCTCGTAGGCCCTTCAGGCCAACTTGCGGCGTTCGATGATGACGAAAAAGCAGAGCTGCTGGCCGATACATTGCAAATCCAGTGCACGCCCAGCATTCAATCCGCGGACCCTGTTCATGTAGCATTAGTAGACAGTGAGGTAGAACGTAGAGCCTCCTTACCCTCGCACGCGTTACCACCCATCACCCCAATGGAAGTTAAAGACCTGATCAAAGACCTACGTCCTCGCAAGGCTCCCGGTTCCGACGGTATATCTAACCGCGTTATTAAACTTCTACCCGTCCAACTCATCGTGATGTTGGCATATATTTTCAATGCCGCTATGGCGAACTGTATCTTTCCCGCGGTGTGGAAAGAAGCGGACGTTATCGGCATACACAAACCCGGTAAACCAAAAAATAATCCGACGAGCTACCGCCCAATTAGCCTCCTCATGTCTCTAGGCAAACTGTATGAGCGTCTGCTCTACAAACGCCTCAGAGAGTTCGTCTCATCCAAGGGCATACTCATTGATGAACAATTCGGATTCCGTGCAAATCACTCATGGAGCCTCACGGAGCACATTCTTGTAGGGCTTAACCGACCAAAACCAATCTACACGGGAGCCCTCTTCTTCGACGTAGCAAAAGCGTTCGACAAAGTCTGGCACAACGGTTTGATTTTCAAACTATTCAACATGGGCGTGCCGGACAGTCTCGTGCTCATCATACGGGACTTCTTGTCAAACCGCTCTTTTCGATATCGAGTAGAGGGAACCCGCTCCTCCCCGCGTCCACTCACGGCTGGAGTCCCGCAAGGCTCTGTTCACTCTCCGCTCCTATTTAGTTTATTTACTAACGATATTCCCCGGTCGCCGCCGACCCAGCTAGCCTTATTTGCTGACGACACAACAGTTTACTACTCAAGTAGAAATAAGTTCCTAATTGCGAGTAAGCTCCAAAGCGCAGCGTTGACCCTTGGACAGTGGTTCCGAAAATGGCGCATAGACATCAACCCAGCGAAAAGCACAGCAGTGTTATTTCAAAGGGGAAACTCACCGCTTATTTCCTCCCGCATTAGGAGGAGAAATATCACACCCCCGATCACCCTCTTCGGCCAACCTATACCCTGGGCCAGGAAGGTCAAGTACCTGGGAGTCACCCTGGATGCATCCATGACATTCCGCCCGCATATAAAAACAGTCCGCGATCATGCCGCATTTATTCTCGGCAGACTCTATCCCATGATCTGTAAGCGGAGTAAAATGTCCCTTCGGAACAAGGTGACACTTTACAAAACTTGCATAAGGCCCGTCATGATTTACGCGAGTGTGGTGTTCGCTCACGTGGCCCGCACACACATAGACACCCTCCAATCCCTACAATCCCGCTTTTGAGGAACGTCGACCTATACGATGACCTGGGTCTCGAATCGATCCGCAAACACATGAAGTCAGTGTCGGAACGTTACTTCGATAAGGCTATGCGTCATGATAATCGCCTTATCGTTGCCGCCGCTGACTACTCCCCGAATCCTGATCACGCAGGAGCAAGTCACCGTCGTCGCCCTAGACATGTCCTTGCGGATCCATCAGATCCAATAACTCTTGCATTAGATACCTTCAGCTCTAACATTAGGAGCAGGCTGAGAAACCCCGGTAACCCTACTCGTCGAACTCGACAAAGAGGTCGACGTGCAGCCTAACCCATGCATCAGCCCGCTGAGTTTCTCGCCGGATCTTCTCAGTGGGTCGCGATTCCGATCCGGTAGTAGATTCATTCGCGAAGCAATTGCTCTTGAGTTGTTAGGTCTCCTTCGGAGGCGCTCGGGAAGTTGTTAGCAAATCCCAGCCCTCCTGGCTGAGCCTTTGTTCGCCCACCTGTCCTGGTGAAGCTGGAAAGGCCTCCGGGCCACCAGTAATCAATCAATCATAAAAAAATAAAATAAAAAAAAAAACATGGCAATGTGTATAATGTTTTCTTTATTGATTTAATGTATCTTTTATGCATTATTTAAAAAAAATATTACCTTTGTTCACTCCTTCTCTATATCACTACATAGTATAAAACAAAGTCGCTTTCTCTGTCCCTATATCTGTCTATCCCTATGTATGCTTAAATCTTTAAAACTACGCAACGTATTTTGATGCGGTTTTTTTAAATAGATAGAGTGATTGAAGAGGAAGGTTTATATGTATAACTAGCTGTACCCGTCCGCTTCGCTGGGCATTTAAAATTAACATTATTATTTCTCATCCCCACAAAGATTCTCATCATAACGCCCCCGCACTGGTGTAGGGAGTCCAACACTCATATAAGTGTAATAGTAATATCCATTAAGTACATGTATTTTCTACATAGATACCAAGTTTCAAGTCAATCAGATGCATGGTTCGGTAGTTATAACGGAATATCCATAAAAACCACTTTAGATTTATATATTAGTATAGATAACATCCCATCAAATAGTGGAGAAATCAATAATAAATTACAGTTTATGAACCGAAGCGAGGGCGGGTCGCTAGTTCTCTATAAGTTAGGAAATTTCATACTCCTCCGTCCGTGCAATTTTCGTAAAAAGGGGTAAAAAGTTTTTGCTTCACGTATTAATATATAGGTAAATAACAAATTTATTTATATTTATATGTATATATACAGTTACATATCTAAATCATTGAAATAAAAAAATCCGTGATTATGTTTGAATTTAAGGTTTAAAATTTTCAAAATTTAATATAAAAATATGTAGTTTCAATTGCACGTATATTCATTACTAAACGCCCTAAACACTTTCCATTATCCACCCTCCCTATTTCTGCCGTGAAGCAGTAATGCGTTTCGGTTTGAAGGGTGAGGCAGCCGTTGTAACTATACTTGAGACCTTAGAACTTATATCTCAAGGTGGGTGGCGCATTTACGTTTGGATGTCTATGGGCTCCAGTAACCACTTAACATCAGGTCGGCTGTGAGCTCGTCCACACATCTAAGCAATAAAAAAAAAAGAATAAAGACTATTTGAACATAGCGAATAAACTACGAGTATTATTCTAATGCCCTTGAATAATGTTTTATGTAAGGTACTGTAACATGATTTGTAGTAAAAAAAGCCTGGCCACTTAATATAAAAAGATGTTTTTTTTTGAAGTGAAAACTTCTTTAGAATCGTTGTGATTTCAAACCGGATGCAACGGAAAAAACGACAGGTAAGAGACACAAATACAAAAATGTGTAGGATGAAGCCAGCAAAGAATGAGACAGAAATATATATACTATTTAATACAGCGCCATCTGTGAGATTTTTTAATACTAACGTGTGTATGAAAGCTCTTGTAGTGAATTTTAATTTAGGATTATACGTGAAATTAAAATATCAATTCACAGAGGGCGCTACCTTACAATTATTTACTAATGACAAAATTTTACATATACTTAAGACGTTTAGGATAATTGTATTTTAATTTTGGAAGGTTTCACTTCTACCACGTGTGAATTGCACACATGTTTTTTTCTCTCACGGCCCACCTGATGTTAAATGGTTACCGGAGTCCATAGACCTCTACAACGTAGATGCCACCTACCTTGAGATATGAGTTTTAAGGTCTTACTTTTAACACTATAACTTCTACCTTCAAATTACTGCTTCACGGCAGAATAGGCAGGGTGGTGGTACCTACTCGTGCGGACTCACAAGACGTCCTACCACCAGTAATTACGCAAATTATAATTTTGCTGGTTTTATTTTTATTACACGATGTTATTTCTTCACCGTGGAAGTCAATCGTGAATATTTGTTAAGTACGTATTTCATTAGAAAAATTGGTACTTGAAACAGTTGAAGCAATTAATGAATCAGATTTGTATGAAGCGACTACTTACGACTAAGATATTTTTATTTTGTTTAACGTGATTTACATTGATGATACTATAGTTATAGTATTGTAGTAATAGTATAGTTATAGTTATAGATGATATATAGTTGTAGGTTAATTTACCCATTGTGGGACACCCTATATAATAAAATTTGATTTTTTTATTTCTAGGTTTGTTAACTATTGCGACATAGGTTATGCATTGGGCTTGAAATGGCTGATGGGATGTATATTATCACTACATAGTATAAAACAAAGTCGCTTTCTCTGTCCCTATATCTGTCTGTCCCTATGTACGCTTAAATCTACGCAACGAATTTTAATGCGGTTTTTTTAATAGATAGAATGATTGAAGAGGAAGGTTTATATGTATAATAACATCCATTAAATAGTGGAGAAATCAATAATAAATTACAGTTTCCGAAGCGAAGCGAGGGCGGGTAGACAATAAAACGTAAAATAAAATAAATCAAATGTGTAATGAAATAGAATACCTGCAATAATAAAACAAGAGGAAACACACCGTAGAATCCGAGGTGCGTGTATAGAAGAGGACCACTGACAGCTCCCGCCACCTGTGCTATTTGAATAGCAGCGCGATGTGTCCCCATTGTACGAGTCACATCTCGACCTGTTGCATGACACACCTGTAACATTACACACCGCCAAAAATTATATAAATATACTGCTTTTGTAACCAATATAAAAATGTTTGGTAAGTTTTTTTGAAGTCGTCGTGGCCTAAAGGATAGAACGTCCGGTGCATTCGTACATAGCGATGCAACGGTGTTCGCAGCCGGGTACCAATTTTTCTAATGAAATACGTACTTAACAATTGTTCACGATTGACTTCCACGGTGAAGGAATAACATCGTGTAATAAAAATCAAACCCGCAAAATTATAATTTGCATAATTACTGGTGGTAGGACTTCTTGTGAGTCCACAGGGGTAGGTACCACCGTCCCGCCTATTTCTGCCGTGAAGCAGTAATGCGTTTTGGTTTGACGGGTGGGGCAGCCGTTGTAACTATACTGAGACCTTAGAACTTATATCTCAAGGTGTGTGGCGCGTTTACGTTGTAGATGTCTATGGGTTCCAGTAACCACTTAACACCGGGTGGGCTATGAGCTCGTCTATACATCTAGGCAATAAAAATAAATAAATAAATCTTTCAAAACGAGAAAAAAATCTGCATAAATAAATACTAATGTTACATAATACAGCATTACAAAACTACGTCAAAATGTTTGCCGGTTCTGAAAGCGTCGAACTAAAAGTCGTATGTAATACTTGAGTTTCGGCTTGTAGGATTTTTATTGCTTTGACTGGTGACCGGGTGGACATAGTGTCAAGTGGGTACTGGAGCCTATGGCGTACCTGATCCTGCAGATCGAATTGTAAACAGTTGACGTTGCCCTAAACATCTTATTTTGGATCCTCCCGATCCACTATTAGTGCTTTTAGGTACCTCAAGCACCGGTCACCGTTCTCGTCGAACCCGTCGCTTACGACGAAGGGTTTTGCTAGTAAATTAACCCACAGACACAGCCCACTGAGTTTCTCGCCGTATCTTCTCAGTGGGTCGCGTTTCATCAAATTAGCTCTTCTTATTTTGATAATATCCTGAAAAGCACCCCACGCTTTTTTTTTACAATAAAGTAATTTTTTCGTACAATATTTTTGTAATTAAAATTTATTAAAATTTATTTTCAATTTTTTAGTTGGATTTTCTATAAAAGCGTATTTTTTTTAGTTTTACTTAAATATTATTTATTTGATATAATAATAATAATAATAATAATAATATAACGATAAAACCATTAACTTACATTCATAACAATCAACTTCCCCCTCCCTCAACGATGCAACATTCAATCAATTTCAACTAAGCAACGAAAACCATCTTCCAATCCGGCTGGTCACCGTGGAAGATCAAGACCAAAACCCTCTAAAGAAGACATCTCAAACTCCTTCAATAATAAGAAATGGAACACTAACACAAGAAATACTTAACTCNAATAATAAGAAATGGAACACTAACACAAGAAATACTTAACTCAACTAAAAAGAAGAAAGATCATCTCTACATATTAACTTACAACGTCAGAACTTTATCTACTTACGAACGCTTAATCGAACTTAGCGAAGCTCTCACTAAAATCAAATACGACATAATTGGAATGTGTGAAATAAGGAGGACGGGCACCAGGATAGAATTTATTTGATATTATTATCTAATTTTTTTATTATGCCACATCTATTTTCTGTCGTAAACTATCCTTTTATGCAATGCATCTACACCCGTACAAAATAATATGAATGTTTTCACATCTGCTAGCCTTCCCGCGATGGTTCATTCTTTTTTACTGTTTTACGATGTAAAATGATCCGTTGGTCGTGGTAGTCAGTCGCGAACACGAGTTAAATATATTTTACGTACTTCTTTAGAACATTTGGTACCTACCAGCTTATACCTGCATATGCCACGTACATTTGGTAAATATTTGAATAGTTGTGAGTTAAGTTTAGGTGCCTTTGATATGTTTTGAGATAGTAGGTAATGGAGAAATATACCTTCGTCAACCAGTATTTGAGATCCAGGTGTACAATATTAGACCTGTATGTAGAATTACTCGATTTATGTTTTGTATTACTCTATTTTATAAAGACCTCGATAAAAAGAGATAAAATGAGATAAAATGTATTATGTGTAATATTATTTTCGTCACCTTAAAGTGTTAGTAATTTGGGTAATTCGCCTGAAGTTACAACGAGACGACACGCGTAAATTCCTGAATAGTAACTAAAATAGAATGGACGGTGGAGCTCGGATTAAGAATCTACACGCTTTTGCCGTAAAAATGCATCGCAAAGATTTAGGTACACTCATTGAATATTCTGTTTTGTTCAAATTAATGTCATTAACAACATTATCAGTGCAAAACTGTTTCTATTGTAAGATGATTAAATTATATACATATTATTGTTTGTTTTGTGTTATTTGTTTCACCGGTTACGTGGTTTAGATAAATCTATCATAAAACTTTATAATTAAAGTACTTACATCTCCTAGATAACTAAAAGCGGCGGCCAATAGTAGTCCAAAATTACCACCTAATGCAATTGGTATTTGTACTGCGTACAAAACTAGAACAGTTGAAGCACCAGGGAATATCAACATCACTATCACAGCTGATGTCGTTACACACATTCCAATCAAAGGCATGATGAGCAGAGGCTTCCGTCTCCCACTACAGTCACTCCATGGACCCACGAAGAGAAGGATTATAGTTGAAAGTAAACATCCTATAAAACTCCGACTGATGTTGACGCTTGAAACTACGATTTGGCTTGCGGCCTGGAAAGGCAAAATTAAAAGGACTAAAGAGCACAGCAATTGATTTAAAAAAAAAAAGGTTCCCTCTCTCTTCCTCTCAGTCATAATTTTTAGGTGTATATTAAATTTGACATTGAAATGGTTCTATATAAAAAAGTTAATGTAAGTAACCCGGTCCCGTAGTGAATCTTTTTAGTGGGTCGCGCTTCCGATCTGCAGATCCGGTGCTATATTCAGCGAAGCACTGCCCTTGCTAGGGCAGATGTTAGCTAAATCTCTCAGGCTGAGCCCCGCGACCTCACATACAGTTTTGAAGCTAGTATCTCTACTACCCTTGTACCCACGGAATAGATAAGTAAGGAACCTTATTTATCTATTCCGTGCTTGTACCCCTTGAGGCTACCAGCAGTAGGCAGGCAAAAATAATAATGAAAGGTATTGTCAACTAATTCTCCAAAGAGATTTACTGTGAATTTCTACTATGAAATTGTTACCTCAGCTTTTCTGAATTCTTCACCTACGCCGCGATCGCAGATGTCTGCTGTATAATTCAAATCGACGGTGCAAGCTGTTCGAAGGTAAAAGTTCTGAAGTGAAGTCTGTCCAAGATTTATTGCCATCATAGACCCAACCAGGGCGGGCTCTAATAGTAGACGCCATTTGTGCGGAGTTCTTTCGTGACAGCAACGATCGCTGCCACCAGTTTCTGCTGGACTATAAAGTTATATCAATAAACTAAGTGACTATTAAGAACGCCATCTCTCCAACACTTTTATTTTTATTACTAACAATAATCGTCTTGTATTGTGTGCTGCCGATACTGTGCACACGATAACATGAATCGAAAACCAAAAGAGAGATATAGTAAACACTGTACCTATAATCCGTGTTAGGATGATTAAAATGAAGATAATTTGAACATTGATTCATCATCATGACTTTAAGTTTATTCCTACTTTACAGTAGGTACAATATTTCATTCATGAATTGTCCGGCGAAATTGTAACTGTAGTCTCGAAGATTTTCGAACACCAAGCACTAACATAGTCATAGCAAAATAAATTCCGCAATGCATCTTTACAATCTTGTTTGTTTAGTTTTGTAGTTAAAATTAAACTCACAGCCGAGAGATATAATGGTTAGGTTTTTTTAAATATACTGTTGCTTATGACGAGAATTAAATTGAAATTTACATCTCTTAATCTCCTATCTATTCATTTTAGTAACATTCTTTTTGAATACTATTCGAAATTTTCTCCTATTATATTATTTTAAATTATTCATAAAAAATATTTAAATCAAAACTCGAAAATCGTAGCTTATGACATAGATAATACACATAAATGGTTTATAATAATGACAAATATTTAAATTATTTGCGAAAAAAAACACAAAGATATTGTGGTGGTAGATTTATATTTTAGAAGGGATATATTATTATCATTATTTAGACGATTGAACGAGCTCACGGCTTCGTTGGCATTAAGCGGTTAGAGGTTAGGCCACTAACCTTGGGACATGAGGTCTAATGCCCGTATCTTTAGACGTTTCGTAAAATAGTCCTCCACTCTTAACTCATCCGATGATGCTCGAGAATTCCCTCCAAACTTACTCGAGTTTGGTATTTTTAGTCGACCATTACAATATTCCTCAACTGTCCTCGAGTGAGGTAATAATGATGAAAATTTGATCAAGCTAGCATCAAACCCATAGAGTTCTGTAGTGTATGNCTAATGCCCGTATCTTTAGACGTTTCGTAAAATAGTCCTCCACTCTTAACTCATCCGATGATGCTCGAGAATTCCCTCCAAACTTACTCGAGTTTGGTATTTTTAGTCGACCATTACAATATTCCTCAACTGTCCTCGAGTGAGGTAATAATGATGAAAATTTGATCAAGCTAGCATCAAACCCATAGAGTTCTGTAGTGTATGGTCATTGTTTAATGTCAAAGTCAAGCTGCCGCTGTCTGTTTGACACTAGATGAACTTGTTTGATGTTTTGGTTGCTGAGTTAATCGTAAATATGTGTGCGTGCGGTAAATCTGAAAGCTTAATATTTATTTTCTAACCTATTATTATTTTAGATTTCGGATCCGGCTTTGTATTTTTATTCGCCGCTTTTGTGTGATTTTGGTTGCATCGTGTTGTTGAAGTGCTTTTTCACAACCAACAGTTTATTATTATATAAATAAAACTTATAATCGCATTGACTTTATTTATCAGGTACTAAGCAAAATATGACTCTTATGTAGGTAAATAAAATCTAGAGTTTCAAATGTCTAACTTCGAACTATTTACTTTATTAATAAATATTATCAAAATTAAATTATCAAAATATGCGGGAATCATGCACAGATCCAGGCCATTGCACAACAATATCATATATTTCCATTTGCGGTCCACATACTATTTGGACATTGATAGAAAACCAGCCTTGAGGAACGTTCAAGGTACGTCACGACGTACCTTGACTTGACAGTTCGCTTACTTCACTCCGGTTAGGAAATTTTTCCAAGGACGTTTGAGTGGAGTTTATTTTTACGACTAAGCATACCAAAACGCGCGTTGGAGGTTGAGTCGAGTCGAGTTAGGCTCGTGTAAACGACTAAAGATACGGGTGTAAGTCTCAGTGGTGTATTAACACAGCTATCTCATCGGTCAAACTGGACAAATGACTGCATTTAGCTTATCCGGGATTACAATATGCCCCAGTTAAATTTACTTTAATATGATTTCATTATTTGTTTATTTAGTCTTTATTAGTCTGTATTCTGGGAGGAAACGGAAATTTCAATAAAAACATGTGGCCGGTACTTCATCTAAGATGTAGTATTTCGTGTGTTCGTGATATCTGAACGAAACTGAATAGTTTCTTTTTTTTGACGTCTACTTAAGGTTTAATGTACCATGGATTCGTGTATTGTCACTAAAATGAATATATTTTTTATGGTTCTGTGGTCATAGGGCTAATTTTGTACAAAATGTATTTGTCCATTCTCAAACACACACAGTATAATAGATATAAGATTATTCATATAATAATAATAATAATAAGAAGCCGTTAATCACATTTCTATATTATGGTTTTTGTTATTTTCAAATTATACATATCATACACGAAGTCTTGTAAACTATCGTATCTAAAAGATTTCGGCATTTGGGATGCTATCAAAATGATATGAAATGGATAAACTCCGTTGAGTATTATTATAAGTGATGTTTTTTTATCGTAAAATAGGTTCATATTACACGGTAATTTTGAAAAAAAGGTATGATTTACCTACTTGAGCTTAAATCAGACAATTTACCTTTTAAGCCGCAGTAACTTCTAAATTTCTAAAGATTGGTACTCCGATTCTTCTTAATGCTATATTGATATATGAATATTAGGGAAATACTTTTATTTTTTTTCTCACAATTCCCCCATGATTCTGGAACCATTATGATGGAAACAATACCCATCTAAAATAGTTTTAGTTTATACAAACCTTAATTTATCCAGCTCGTGGATATCGGCCATACTCTCAGTCATCTTTGTATTCTATATTCTTTAATCCTTAACCTGTATGTCACGAACGCGTTTAATTTATCACAAAACATATAAGAGAGCTCACATCACAGTCTATATGAGTCGAAGCGTCTGGCTCCTAGCGTACAACGTACACTAATATTGATGATAAGATAATTTTGTATGCAGAATGGAAACAAACTACTGGTAAGTTCCGAATGATAACTTTATGAACCGATGCATTAAACTGAATACGAAGAATAATTGATTCGTCGGCGCGTTGATACTAGCGACTGGCAGGGAGACCCGCTATTACGTTCGGTTGATACGATTACAGCAATTGGAGTTGACGCACTTGCTGATAGTAGCAATTGGTGTGCAGAAATCGTACATATCCGATAGCTACATTAAATTTTAGTTTTAATCGAAAAGTTGGAAAATTCGCAAAGGTTTTATTGCTTAGGTGGGTGGATGAGCTCATGAGCACACCTGGTGTTAAGTGGTTACCGGAGCCCATAGACATCTATAATGCAAATGCCGCCACTTACCTTGAGATATGAGTTCTTGGGTCTCAGTTTTTACAGTACAACAGTTGCCCCATCCTTCAAGCCGAAACGCATTACTGCTTCACGGCAGAACTAGACAGGGCGGTGATACCTACCCGTGCGGACTCAACAGACGTCCTACCACCAGAATTTTTCTGTAATAAAAAAAAAATTGCATTTGAAGCAGTCGTTTTGCTAAATAATAAAATGCTAAATATACAGATATAAGTATGTAACCTGAAAATAGTACAATTTATCCCTTTTTTAACTTCACCTTATTGTTACAAGAGCTCAAAGACAATTTATATGCATGCATTACAATATGAATGCTAAATGAATATAATATGAACGACAAGTCGTTTTCGCCCTAGATCTAAGATAGCGATGGTTTTCACATAAACTAAAGCTGAAAACGGCTAATATTAACTAATAACAAACCGGATGTAATAAAGAAATATTGAATTGAAATCTCATATTTACGGTTTTCAAAATTCGTTTTGAAGCGTCGATACCTTAATATTAAGCCCCATCACGGGCTCAAGTCCTAGTTTCAATTCCGTACGGATATTAAGTTGGTTTTATCTATTATTGCCACCAAGCTATCGCGTTTTCCGATTCAAATTAGGATGATAAGATTAATCCAGTGCAATTGGGACATCAACCTCATTTCTCAAAATAGGGAGAAATCCATGATGTTGCGCACGGTGAATTCTTCAACTGCTTCAAGTTAGAATAAAAGGGTACGTATAGTTGGTTTTATAATCTATAAAAATAACATTAGATTTAATTCAGCTTATATCAATGTGCAAGGGATAAAGAGGATATATTATAACACAAGAAATAGTTACACGGGATTCATTTTAGAGAATTGCTAAAAAATGGACGCGTTTATACGATATAGATTTATTGAACTTTGAAAACTTACTGAAGAAATGGCCCATAAAGCAACGATTGAAATGCCTGATAATCAGAACCTCTAGAGACTGATAATATAATTAAATCAATGAAATTGTAGCGGTTACCTTATTGAGTAGTATCGTCTATATCATTACGATCGATCCGATATACAAGTTTATAATCCACTCATATCATTTCCTTGGTCGTTAAATTTGTGCTCTACGTGATAGAGATCACATACGCAATGTTTTTGTAGTAAATATCTATTTATTAAGTGTTCAATTATACAGTCCAAAAGATAAGTCCAATTAAATGTAGAATTGAAAAATAACCCTGATACGTTTTAGACGAACATTTAAAGTGAGATGCTAGCTTGTCATATATAATGTAGTATCTATTGCATGACAAAAGGCATTAGTTAACGATCTGCGAAAATCGATTTCACGCTACGTATTGTATGAAAGAAAAACTTTAGTGATTAATTAATGCACAAGACAGTTCTCGGTTCGCTGTCAACGAACGACATTGTTTAACATTCATTGGGTTTTATGTAGCACTATGTACTAGATACGGCTCTGCAATAATTTCACGGCCGAAGCATACGGAGCCAGCTTTAAAATAAAACAGTTGAGAATCTAGCTCTGAGCTCGGCACGCGCGGTTACGTTGCGCTCATTACGTGTGCAATTAACACTAGGTAATCCGGGAACCAAACCTGAGATACTCGTTCTGTTGTAATTTTTTCGAATAGATATGCGACTAGTGCATGACTTGAAGCTATTGAAATATATTACTTAGGCGCCATAAACTTATTTTTAGCTTTTTAATTCATCTATTAGTGATGTAAATAAATTTAGGTCAATTTAATAGCATCTCTTGGACTGAGCAGCTTATTATGTGATTAACACTACTCGGAAGACACGCATCGCTCTGTAAAGTGTTGTTTTGCCATGACTCACTACTCCAAACTATTGTAATCTTTAGATTGCAAATTACGCCGCATAAGTAACGCGATGTAATTTCAGAAAACTTAATTAAATAAGCAAAAAAGTTTAGAATTTAGTTTAGTTTAGAAGTTATTGAATAATTGAAAAAAATTGCAACGTATTCATTGCAATCAAAGTGCACACACACGTCCCTCAATAGACATTTTTATTTTAGTTAAGCGGCTGATTCGTTTTAACATTGTATTTGCTCCGTCGATGCGAAATTAACGAATTCTCGTTAACTCTATTTAATGCTATCTGTTTCGGTTAAACAAGTTCATAGTCTACCTACGTTACAGGTTATTTGAAGCAAAATGTGTTCTAGTGAGTGAAAAATTACGAAACATTTTCGTTTGAAAGTGGATTACGTTCAATGTCTTACAAAACGTCCTTAATCATTCAGTCGGCTCCAAATATTCGCGGTTACAGTCAATTACCTGGCTGGAAAACTTTACACCTGATTTTATGATCCAGGGAAATAGTGAAGTGTCCTGAATTTAAAGTGTTTGTTCCGTCGAGTTCGTTTTGAAGCTTGGAATAAAATGGTTTGTAAATTGTATAATTGTACTTTTCTTTTGAATTTAGAATTTTTTTTTGAATAGTGAATTTATATCTGTAAATTTTAAGCATTTGCATTTTATGTCCAAAATTTGTTTAGGTAGGTACTTACTTATGTTTTGTTTGAAAAATTTGTTTTATAATTTAATTATTTTAGTAAATTTGTTTAGTGTTAAATTTTTATTTAATTAAGTCTTTGTTATGTAAAGCAGTTCAACATTACAATTTCGAACCCGAAGATGTTTATATGACGTGTTCAGGCATTAACATTGAATGGTGCGTGGATGTTAGAGTCCTAATGTGGTAGCTTGGCGGCCTTGGATAGCTAGCTCCTCGGTACATCGCTTCTCAGATATATGACGACAATTTTATGTGCCTACACAAAGGGCGCTACTGTACTTCATGATTGTCATCTAAGTAGTTTGGCGATAAAAATTTAAGGATAGGGATTGTAGTTACTCTAACACATTCTTGTGTAGGTACCACTGAAGGTAATTTCCACGGTCCACCTCGTGGAAGCCAATGAAAGGGGCAAAATGTAGCCGCTGTCTACGGAAATAAAGTCTTTGGCCTAATGTCTATAGATGTGTTGGTATAACTAATAGCATTCGTATCTGCTTAACAGGCGGATCGTGAGCTTATATTATCAAACAAAAAAACCACAGCGCATAGTCACGTCTATTGTAAATCATTTTTTTTATTTTTTTTATTGCTTAGATGGGTAGACGAGCTCACAGCCCACCTGGTGTTAAGTGGTTACTGGAGCCCATAGACATCCACAACGTAAATGCGCCACCCACCTTGAGTTATAAGTTCTAAGGTCTCAAGTATAGTTACAACGGCTGCCCCACCCTTCAAACCGAAACGCATTACTGCTTCACGGCCGAAATAGGCAGGGTGGTGGTACCTACCCGCGCGGACTCACAAGAGGTCCTACTACCAGTAATTAGATTATAATTAAGAGAATTCAAATTGTATCAAGGAAAAGTACTATTAACAATGCTTTACGATTAAAATTGCGATTAAAATGGAACGTGAACATGTCCTTATTGATTTTAACTGTTATCTTGTTAATGAGTTTGAGGGAATGTTAAAAAGTGATCTCTAGAAAAGCGTAAGTCTAAAATAGACGGCATCTGACATAATTCCTCATACCGTGTCCCTTCTTTTATAGAGTACTAGCTGTACCCGTCCGCTTCGCAGGGCATTTAAAATCAACGTTATTATTTCTCACCCCCACAAAGACTTTCATCATTAACGCCCCCGCAACTGATGTAAGAAGTCCAACACTCATATAAATAATAGCCTATCCATTAAGTACATGTATTTTCTACATGGGTACCAATTTTCAACTCAATCGGATGCATGGTACAGTAGTTATAACGGAACATCCGTGAAAACCTCTGTAGATTTATATATTAGTATAAATATAGATCTGTTTACATACATTTATGTAAAGACACAATCATCTTCAATGAATTTTTGTATGTCATGTTTCCGGCCTTGTAAACTCCAGAGTTTAGCGCCCGCGCCGCGTACCTACTGTAAGCTCGCTAATTATTAACAGCATTGGTAACGCCGCGCCGCGCCGTGGCAAATAATTAGTTGCCTGGTCTACGGTATCTTCACGTTTTCTCGCTATCGTTTCTTATACGTACTCTGTTTATCTTTATTTACTATTCTATTATTTTAATCACTAAATATTATTGTTTGTTTTTAATTAACCGTTACCAAACCTTTAAATATAACATTCATGTAGAAACGAATTTACGTTTTAAAATGAGAAACAATAGAGCTTATGAGAAGGCTCTGCGTGATGTTTTAATTGTATCTAAATGTTTTACTTAAAGAAGACATTTACAAAAATAAATTGTAACTTTACCACATATTGTTAACCTTATGAACATTAGAAGATCTCATCGTAAATCAGTATTTGTTAAATTAGTTTAAGTTTGTTTGTATGCTAGTCATGAGAGAGCTAGCTGATTGATTTCGGCGACTATTTTCTTTTCTTCAAATATTATGTAAAATAGGATTGA